CATACTTAACAAACCCTTCATAATCACACAACTGCTGACTTAAAACCAGAATGCATAATATTTTGCCTCAGTCATTTTATGCCTTTTTTGATTAACAAACAAGTGTGAGAGAAAAGGGATCTTCACTAGCACAGCATCACTCCAGCAACTTCCACATCCACAATGACACTCCAGAGCATCTCCAATCCATCACCTCAGCGTTGTTACTGCTGTGCTTCAGGGAAGACAGGATGTCTACAGCTGCACAGATCCCGTGCAGGGTGGGAGCCACCCACAGCTCCTGCCTGCAGCAGCCCCTCCATTGTTAGATGCTCTGCAGACACTCCTTGCTGCACCCAAATTAAACACAGACTTAGACAGAAATGTCTCACCACCCACAATACGATGTCTGGCAACAATTACAGAGGCTACTAGGAAAATCCAAGCTGGGGTTTACAGAGAAGCACAGTAAATGTGATTTTTTTAAAATTAGATTAAGTTGGAAAAAGTCTCAATATCCAAAAGCATGCCTGCACTCCCACCCCTCTCCCAGCCATAACACCTGGGCATAGAGAGGAACTTCCCTTGCCTCAATCCATACCCTTCTGGCATCTATGTGAGCAGACCCAAGGGGAACCCAGAAAACTCATCTGGCCTCACCATGTGCTCTGCTCATCTGAACAACTGGGGCCATGTTTCTCACACGTAGTTTCTGAATTGCACACAGACACCTACAGATAAGGTAAATATTAAAAATGTGATACTGACACGTGTTCTCATCATTCAGATTAAGTAATCAGAGGTCCAAAGAACTGAGCAGTGCTATCCACATGCACTCCTGGCACAGAAGGTTTGTTCTTCCTGTGACTTATGGGGTCACAACAACATGCTGGACAGAAATGAGTCCCCAAACTTCTGAGCCCTCACATAGATCTCCAACAGTTCTAAAAACAATTCTAAACTCTGCAAGAAACAGCCAGCTCCTCCTGAAGCACTTTCAACACGGGGGCTTTTCTACTACAAACCTATGCAAACCCAAGCACAGCCTGTGGACATGGTTCAAGGCAAAGTCATGGGATGCTTCTTTGTAAAAAGAAGTGTGTATGGCTCCATTCTCCCCCAAACCTATTAACTCTGAAAGGAGAGAACTCAAACAGGAATCCAAGACCTTTCATGTCCCTAGGTCTGCTGCCTACACCCCATATTGTTCTTCCAGTAACAGCCAACTGTAATACATTATCTCTTCCAGTGCAAATGAGAACAAAGACATGCTTAAAAAAAAAAAGTTACTCTCCATTTTTCAGCATGTTCCTTTGTATAGACAAAGTTCATAGAGTATCATTTGTTTATGAAAAAAATAAATAAATCAAGCACAACTAAGCGTGCACACATATATATATATTTATAAAGCAATCGTTTGAGGCAAGAATAATGCCTGCTTTATATCAAGGGAAGGAGGAAGGACTCAAAAAAGTGCAGCTAAAGCCCGCCCCTGAAGACTTCTCCCAAACAAAGCAGGAACTGTAATCACTTTTCATGCTCTCTCATCCCACCCTGTTAACCATGCAGTGAGCAATGGCACAGGGACAGGCAGGCTTCTTCTCACCTCGTGGCATCACTGAAGTCCCAGCACGGAACCTGGGGCTTGCCAAGGCACTGGTTTCCTGCCTACAGTCTACCAACCCCAAACATTTCCCAGTCACATCCTTGAATGTGCTTCACTAATAAGGCATCTGCTAGGTAAGCACAGCGGTGTGTAGGGGCACACTGATGGTAAGCCATCACCTTGCTCCCCACCAACCCATACCACATTACAGGGCTGAGAGCCAAACACAGATCACCCATCCTCACTGAGAGGCCACACTGGTTCTGCAACACAACATTCAATCCTCTTTGGCCTCCCTCATATACAGGCTAATACTAATTTTTTAAGAGGATCAATGCAGAAAATGCCTACTGGATAATGAGTTCAGTGTTGCACATGAACAGAGGGAAAGGAAACATGGAAGAGGAGGGAGACTGCAAAATGCAAGATTCTGCATCATTAACAAACTTGAGCAAAACTCAATACAAGATCCACAGTTATCTTCATTTATTGTCCTCAGAACAGTTTCTCACATCCTCATAGCTATAGTTCAAGTTAATTTGCCACCTGTTTTGTTTCCCTTTATGTACTGTAAGAATAAACTGCAGTAAAGCCTTCTGTTTCATGCTTTAACACACTTACTGTCAGTAACCTCAGAACCACAGCACTGCCAACACAATTTACTTCTCTCACCATCCCCTCATTAAAAAAAAAAAAAAAAAGCTAACAGGATCAAAACAACTTCCTACTTATGGAAGTGGCATGAATACATAAGTCTAGTCCTGCTCCCAGCTCTGCCTGCTGCACTTCGCAGGGGAGGAGAGCCCTATGCATGGAAGCCACAGCAGTATCCCTGGGCCTCACAAGGCTCTGTGCATTTTGATGCCAACAGGCAGCTCTTCATCTACCCATCCCTGAGCACCGGACCTAGTGAGACCAGCAGGACTTTCCTATGCTTCTTAGTGAACATCCACGTGTCTGCCTTGATCATCATCAGAGAAGCAGACAGGGAGAAAGCAGAGAGGCAGAGCTCCAGAGAGAGAATAATCAGGTACTGCAGCCAGAGGTGCCATCAGCTCCACACATACCTTCAGATACCCAAATGGACAGGCAGATTCCCTTTCAGTTAACTAAGGGCAATGCACAGCATCAGGCACAACAAAGAGCAGCCACAAAGCATGCAACAACACTGCATCGGAAAGGATCTCAACTCTGTAACTGCCAGTAAAGGAATTTACACATACATGCTAAAATAAAATAAGACTCTTATCCATGAACACTGATGGGAAATGTTTTATTTCCTTAAAATCTACAAAATCCTTTTTTCAGCATCAGTGGCACGAGATCCTGTTTTTCCTGAAGACAGTAAAAAACTCAAAGAAAACATCTGAAGAGTTCAGAAATAATACAAAACTTGGGAGCTTTCCTGTCATAGTTATTGCCTGTGAAGATACCAGCTCTGGAAGGCACCCTTGGAAGCAGAGCAAAGCACCACCATTTTACCCTTGCAAAATAGATGGCAGAAGAAAAACTTAATCCAAGGATAGAAGTTCAAGTCAGGAATTAACTTTTTTGCACATCTGAGATAGACTTGCTCCAACTGCAGCTCCATGTGGTACAGCCAACCGCCCTGGTTGCATAGCCATGGGGCTGCAGACTTCCCCACAGTTCTCTTTGTACCCACAGAGGGCCATGTGGAGCAACCACACCACACCTCAGCTGCCCAGGACGCAGCCACGAGGAAGCAGAAGGCACCATATTTCCCCTTCATCCTCATGGGAATCATAGAATTACAGAATATCCTGAGTTGGAAGGGACTAAGGATCATCAAGTCCAACTTCAGAGAGGACTAGCCATGAAAAATAGAAAGCCCTGCTGTCTGGAAGTGTAAAGCCACAATGTTTGGTGTCACACAGTTGCAGCCATGCAGTCCTACTGACAGTAGCTGTTTACTCTGGGGGAGGAAAGAGTACTGAGTCATAACACCATCAGAGAAGGCAGCACAGCACATGAAAGGCCATCTCCAAGCACACCTCTACCTCCACCATCCAGAACAGCTACCACACAGTTTCCCACCTTTGAAACAAACCCATTCTCAACAAACACTGATCTCAAATGCTTAATTCATTGTGGAAGGAGCAGTCACAGCTGTCGCCAGCTACAATGCCTTCTGTTTCTTTTTCGAGCAAAAAGAAAGAAAAAAAAAAAAGGAAAAAAAACAGAGCAGCCTGATTTCAATGGGGCTGAGGGCACAGTGCATTCACCAGCCCCTCTGCAGCTCCCTGAGCATGCAAGGTGTGCAGTGTGATGGCTTTCCAGGAGCAGTCCCACTGGAGACAGACTTGCATGTGCAGAACCAGCTCCCTCCTCACAGCCAGTGTACATGCAGGAACCTGCTTCCTTGCTGCTCACCCCCTGTTAGCAGAACAGAGCCAACTCCACAACACTTGCGCTGTCTAAAAAAACGCTCCTGAACGAGACGGACCTGACACCTGCACTGATATCCAAAGCCCACCAGAAATGATGGGGTAGAAGAGCTCAGAGATGGCCATTGAGCTAAAGCATCCAGCAGAAACAAAAACAAGTTGTAACGGGAAGGTAGGAACATCTTTCTGCCTCAGACCAGAAGCACATATAGAAAAAGCCTTCCAAGCCACAGAACTGCAGCCAAGCTCCTGCTCTCCTGGCAGCTGCCATAGAGCAGAAATGAGGGCATCACAGGGCCTGCTCCATCTCTCACACTCAGAACTCTGTGCTGTACTTCATACACGCATAAACGTGTCCTGCCCAAAAGCCCATAGCCCTACAGCTCCACTTAAAACCAGCACTGGGCAAGTAGTGATATAAAGACAGGAAGTCCTGATGTCTCTGTACGCATCTCCTGCACACTCAGCACCTCGGTGTTTGAATCTCTCCTGACAGCTGAGAAATAGACCAACGCGTACGAGCCGCTCACACACACGCGGCCGGTTCCCACGGCCAGCACCGCGCGAATAAGGAGCGAGCTGCGGACCCGCAGGCCCCTCCGCCGGGCCGGCACGCGGCAGGGGTGGGCGGGGGCAACCCCGCAGACCGGCCGCGCCTCGGTCCCCGGGCTCCTCAGCGCCGCTGCAGCAGCAGGTGCAGCGCCTGCCCGCAGGCCCACAAGCGGGGCAGACGGCCACGGCCCGTGACCGCTCCCAGCCTCCCCAGCTCCACGCCTGCACGCGTCCCGTCGTGCTCCGGGAACGCTCCGCAGGTACCGTGGCGTCGCGATCCCGCCCGCCAGGCCGACACCCACCTTGTAGGCGCAGGGCCGCGGGGAGAGGAGAAGAGAAGCGAAGCGCGGCGCGGCGCGGCGCAGCCCGGCGGTGGTGCGGTCGCTTTGCTCTGGCCCCTGCCTGCGACACTGCCTCCGCCTCCCCGCGCCCGTCCCTCAGCCCGACCGCGCACCTACCTGCGCCGGAAAGATACCTCACCCGGCCCCCGCCCGCCTCGGCGCCTCCTCCTAGGAACCCTCCTCCCGCTCCGGGTGGGGACGGGGCGGGACGGGGATGAGCGGGGGAGAATGGGGGAGGAGAAGGGGGAGGGAGGAGAGGAGGAGGAGAAGGGGGAGGGAGAGGAGGGGAAGGAGGAGGGCCCTGCGCCGCGTGGAATGAAATTGGGGTCGCCCTTCGCTATGGCGGGTGGAGCTGCAGCTTCCCCTGCTGTATGTGTTTGAGAAACACCGTCAGAACGGTGTTACTCAGGAAATGGAGTCTCTTAAAAGCACAGGGCTGTGATGGTAATCTCCGAGAAAGAAAGTTTTCGTGCACGGCAAGATCTGGCCGTTGAGATATATCGAGGCTGCTAACAGAGCATGATCACTGCATGCCTTACACAGCGAAAGCCACTTCCTCTCACTGTCTCGTTGCCTTCCCCGGGTGGTGGTTTTACTTGGGCCTTGGGCTGTCGTCACACCAGCACCCAGCATGGCCACATTGAACGGTGGCCTAGTGAAGCCAAGAAAACAACAAAGTAACTGGACACTCAAGTGAGTTATGCCAAGCAGATATTCCTTTTATTGCAGTGCTGGGTTCATGGGGATCACTCCACCAACATGCACACTGGGAGAAGCAGCGACTACATATTTAAAGACTAACGTATACATATTCATTACGTTCCAAGGACATGGGCAGAAATTTCAAGAAATAACAAAGTTCTCTGGTGGTCACGGGATGAAGGATGAAGTCATTCTCACTGTAAATTTCCAACCGTTAAAGGGGGCGGGGGTAGCCCAAACTAGTTCCCCCTGATGTTATGTTGAGCTGAGGCATCTGTTTTGCCATCTTATCTTCAACAACAGGACATCTATTCTACTTTCTTACCTTCACTTTACAAAAAGCTCCACAGCTTCCTCTGCGTTCCATTCTTGAGCTTACATTTATACCAACCTCCATCCTTCAGTTTATATCAAGTTATGCAAAAGGCTGTTTTCACAATATAGAAGAGCTGTTCTCATGATTCAGTTCCCCTTTTCAATATCCTAGGCAAGTTCTTTTGCCTGCAGTACCCCACTGTCTATTCTTGAAGTATTTAATTGTTTCCACCTGGTGGTTCATCAGTGTCTCTTCCAGGTGGCATAATTGTCCAGGCCTTTCCAACAGCACTAAAGAGAGCAGTGTACAAGTATGCAAGCTAACACTACAAAGTTAATTAGTATTACCATGCTACAAACAGTTGCTTTAGCCAAGTAAATTTAGGACCCAGCTAGTGAGTTTATTCCACGTGTCTGTAAACCCAAATAAAGTATCATTCCGGGCCACCTGATGTAATAGGCTACTCTTTTCCCATGTTGCTTGTATATCCATTTCTACCTCATTTTCTTTATTGATATAGGCATAACAACTAGAATTAATTAGTGCACATACAGCTCCTTTAGCTGCTAATAGGTTTAAGGCTTGTTGGTTCTGTATCATTATCTTGCTTAGGGATGAAACCTCTACTTGCAGAAAATTTTCTAGAGCTTTTGCATTTGCATTCTCTCTTGGTTCCATGGTGGCCAAAATATTGACAATCACCTTCTCCAATTCACTAACCTTGAGAGAGGGAATATACCACCTCACAAACTTTGGAAAGCTGTTGGTCTTTCAAATAATGGATTCCTAACACTTCTCTTCCAGTGGATCACCTGGAAAATTTCTGACATATACCCAATCCCCTGGGTTAATAGAATGGATTGGATGATCCAGTCCCCTGGCTTGAGTCCAAGGCCTGACCATTTTTCATAGTTTGTTGTTTAAGTAGGTGGTTCATCTTCTCTATCTGACTGCTTGCTTAGGACCTATTAGGGATATGTTGTTGCCAGTTGATTCTCAGGAACTTCCTAATGTGTTGTTATACCTGTTTACAAAAATGAGTACCCTTATCCTTTGATATCATGTCAGGCACCCCAAGCCTAGGCATTATTTCCTTCAGTAATATCTGTGAAACCTCCCTTGCCTTATCTGTTCTTTGAGGATAGGTTTCTTGCCAACCTTAAGAAGTGTCTGTCAGCACAAGTAAGTAACAATAACCCCCTTTTCTAGAAAATTCTGATCTATTTACCATTGTTGCCCTAGAAAGTTCCCTTTCTCAATATGCCCCACTTGCACCCACTTTCTGGTACTAGGATTGTACAGTTACTTTGTTCAAATACTTATAAAGAGTGTCTATCCCTCCAGTATGTTATACCGTTCCCTTAGAATCAATTGCCATGAGATACCAAGAGGCACAACAGTGCATCCATCTGAGTTTGCACCCATCTGTCAGCTTGCTCTCTTCCATTCTAAATCATTGATTAAATTCCTATCCTCTCTAGAATACTTCACAGGTTCAGACACAGGAAGCAGAAATCTGAAGCTTAACATCTGGAATTAAAGTCAGTTCACTAATTTCTTTCTTTTCAGCTGACTTTTTTACTACCTGACCCACCATCTTGTTTCCAATTTCCTGTACAGTGTTACCTTTCTGATGTCTTTTACAATGTATAATGGCCATGATCTTTGATAGATTTACATCATAATGAATTTGTTTTCCTTGTGTGTCAGCAATCTTCACTCTTTCCAGATAGTACTATGACTGTGTACCACCCCAAATGCAAACTTAAAATCTGCCTATGTATTTAAGACTTTTTTCAAGGCAGTTATTTCAACCTTTTGGGTGAAAGTCCGCACACGTAATGGTTTTGCTTCGATTACATTGTCAGTAGTAGCTACTGCATAACTTGCCTTACAGTTTTCTTTGTCTCACAAAACTGCTTCTGTCAATGAATCCAGGAATTCTCAGCATTGTCCAATGGTTCCTCCTTTAGGTCTGGCCAACTGGCATAGACAGTCTCCAAGCAGTCACACACTGCTGGCTCAAAGGCTGCTTTGTGTCAGTGTTCTGGGCCTTTGGCAAATTGCTTCCTTCCATTCTGTTCCAAGTTCTCTTTGGTCAGTTGGGCTTTCTGTTGGGAAACTTGATAACCATTTAAACCAAGAAAATTCAGCACACTCGCAGTCCGTTCTACACAGTCCTCTTTTGTTACTGTGGCATCTGTGTACCGCAGTAAAATTCCTCTTTGGGATGGAGGAACCCAAAACTTGGGCTCACAAGCTGTCTGGTTCTCAAAAATTGTTGGGCTGTTCTTACAGCTCTGGATAACACTGCAGGTTAACTGAGTCTTTTCTCCCCATATTGGGGCTTTCCTACTCAAAGGAGATTTTTTTTTTTTTTTTTTTTTGGCAAAATCAGGCAGAAAAAGCCATTCTTCAAATCCAGAATGGTAAACCCCACCTACTCATTCCTTAACTTGGTTAATGAAGTGTATGGATTTGCCACCACTAGGTGTATATCTTCAACATTTCTACTAATTCCCCTCAAATCTTGTACCAAACTATAGCTCTTGCCATCCAAGATTGGCAAGATTGGGGTGTTGTATTTGGGTTCACATTCAATTAATAATCCAAACTCCAAAAAGTTATCTATTGTTTCTTTTATCCTTCTACAGTCTTGTATTCTCAAGTGCACTGCTTTATCCTGATTGGGCTGGCTCCTGTTTTTAACTTAACTTCTGTTGGGGCTGCATTTTTGGCTCTGCCAGGCATCCCTGATTCCCACATTCTCCTCTGGGATGGCTGCAGGTATTAATACAGCAGTGAAACCTTCCTGGAGTAGGTAAGGCTAACCAACTCCTGAGGGACATAGCTATGACATGATATTCCAAGGGAAGAAACAATGTTTCTTAACTTCTTTTGCATTGTACAAATTCTAGGCTGTTCTTAGAATACATGAGGAAAATCATAGGAGTTTGCCAGGCATTCCCAGGGAGCTTATATTCTGTATGACCTGCCCAAAGCCCAGAGCAGCATAAAGAAGCCGGAGTGAAGTCCAGCAGCCAGGCAGAAAGCCCATTGCTTTTGCTGTGCATACTTAGGCTAGATCTCTCCACTTTTATAAATCACACTATTCATTGTATAGCATGGTTTTCAGTATCCAGTCTCAATAAAACTTACAGAATGTTTTGATACTTCTCGCAGATTTAAGGGTTGGAGGGAAAACAAGGATTGGTGTCTGGACTTTGTGCAAATACCAGTATCTCAGTAGGGTTCAGGGTCTCCTTTCAAGTCAGCTGCATTACTACAGTATTAGAACATTGAAAATGCTGTAACAGTAGCAGTTAGAAGCACAAAACAAGTAACAAAAAAGGCACCACTGAAAATTCCCATCAGTTCCTGTTACAAGTAACAGCTTTCACAGTTTTTGAAAACAAACGGCCCTCAGACATACTGTTTTCAGTTTGGGAGGTTTTCCAGAGGTCTATAACATTGGTTTGGTTTGTACGTGAACTGATAGAGTAGGGCTAAAGTCATTTATCCTCACAGTTATTATAACTGGATTTGTTTTGCTCAAAATTATCATCATCCTTCAAATAATACATGCTGCTGCAATGGGATCATGTTATGAGAAACTACTTAGGAATGTCCACAGCAACTTTACAATTGGCATTCCAAATATATGCATGAAACATACTTCTTAAAGACTCCATTATAAGCATAATAATCTTCAAAAGAACATATAATATATGCAATGAAATAATAATATGTAATGAGTGCCTCAATCACAGTATACCTAATTCTGAAATCACATTTAGGGGCATATGCACAGGGGCATTCAAAACCTAGGTAAACTGTATCAAAGCTGTGCTGGGGGAAAAAAAAAAAAAAAAAGGAAAAGTCGAAGAAAGCTTTAGCAACAGACTACTCTTTAAATCCTTAATTAACCTCAGAAAGAAACAAGTTGCAGAGCAGTAGAAGAGCAAGGTCTGAAGGCAGATTGGAGCTGTCCAGGAAGCTGGGTCTGAAGCTAGGACAGAGAAATTCAAGAGTGTGTGAGTCAACAGGTTATAGGTATTTAGTCAGGACAGGGAGAGGGAAGTTTTCAGACCAAGATATAATGCATTGAATAGGTCAGCAGCAGAGTATGTGAAAGAATAAAGGGTGAGAGAATAAAAGTATAAATAATTGAGT